TCCCCGTTTGATGTCCCCCATTTCCCGTGGTGTCCCAACGGACCCCATTTGTCATGCCTGAGTCTAGTTTGATGTTTCGAGTGCCATTCGTAGGATAAAAGAGTCTTAGGAATTGCATGCTAGTGAATCGGTAACCCGTTGGCCTAGGAGAAGAATGCATGAACCCCTTAGGGCTACTCTTAGTATGTGAATGATCACACGTAAGTTTATTTATACACCTCTCCCTTCCCAATGTGCTAATATGTGTTACGATGTGTTATGTGATGCATGATTCCCCAATTTGGTTGCGATCAAATTGGCTATACGGGCAGTTGGATGGGTTGAGAACCATACCAACTGTTAACCAGGCCGGTTGCGATCGGTCAGGTATATAAATATTATATAGGGCTGTGGTCCACTGTTTGGTTGCGATCAAACGTTTTACATGAGCTGCGGTTCATTTTTCTGGCTGCGGTCAGTGATTCACTTCTTGGGCTACAGCCCACGGGCCTCGTGTGCGGATGATCCACTGACTGGATGCGCCAGCGGTGTGTAGGGCCACCAGCCTGAGGAAGACCATAGTCCACCGAATGAGTGATCAGGCAGTGTGTAGGGCTATGGTGTGTAGGGTCGTAGTCTCCGAGGATCTTCGCCCACCGACTGAGTCCCTCAGCGATGTGTAGGGCTTGATCCACTACGATCCACCGACTGTGCTCATCAACGGTGTGTAGGGTCATAGTCCCCAAAAGAGGATCACAGTCCACCGACTGAGCGCGTCAGCGGTGTGTAGGGCTGTGATCCGTCGTCGAGCTTTCGGCGGTCTGTACGGTTGGTTGCGATCAACCCCTTCATGCTGCGGTATGAGGTAGGGTGCTGCGGGGCCATGTTAGTGCTATACGCACTAACCCTCATGTTCGGGGCATGAGATTGGTCCCGTGGCGCCACCAAGGTGTGCTTGTGTGATTTGAATGATGATCTGAATGATGATTTGAATGATGATCTGAATGATGATTTGAATGATGATTTGAATGATGATCTAAATGATGATTTGAATGATGATCTGAATGATGATTTGAATGATTAATTAATGATGATAATTTGAAAGTAAACTGTGACCTTAGATACATGTTCTTTATGATGTTGTCTCTGTATAACGGTTTATCATGATTGAATGTGATCATCCCTATTTGCCGAGTCTATCCCTGGTTTTAAAGCTAGAGTCCCCTAAGTATCTCTTCCTGCTTCGAAATGGTTTTCGTATATATATATATATATATATATATATATATGGTATTTCAACGCGTTGGAGTGGGTTACCTGCATCATTCGATGAACAGATATATTTGGCTTTCAGGCACAGATGAGTAGACACCGGAGCGCGCTAGAGATCCGGGCGTAGATTAGTTAGTTTCTCTTTCGGCCTGCGTGCCATGATTATGTATTGACATTGCTTTGAGGTTGTTTAGTTAGTTTAGCCTGTGCATTTGAGCTCTCCAGCTCAGATGTGGTATAGCACCCCGCACTCTTATGTTGATTTTGGGATTTAATGAGATTTCACCTTTATTATATAAGCTTTAAAAAGATTCAAAATTTTGGGGTGTTACATTAGTAATCACCGTGCGAAAACTGGCTCCCTATTTCTAAGCCCATACGGCTCGAGTTCTGACCGATCAGCCTTTAGGAGGAGTGTTGCGAAATCCGACATCCTCAAGCTGATTGGTAAAGTGGGCCGTGGAGTTGACATAGTATGGAATCAAGTATCACCCTCGCCCCTCCATTAAAGAGCAAGCATTAGTCGACTTCATAGTCGAATGCACTACCCGAGAGGTGGAAAAGGTACCCTTCTTAGTGAACAGCGAAAGCGAGTTGTGGGAATTACACGCAGACGGAGCGGCTAGCAGTCAGCATTGCGGAGGAGGAGTCATGCTGACTACCCCCGAGGGTTTTCGGTTATACTATGCCTTGGAATACCAGTTTAAGGCGTCTAACAGTGAGGCAGAGTACGAAGCCGTGTTAGGAGGGCTAAGACAAGCCGAAGCGTTGGGAGTCACGCGGATACGTGTCAAGACGGACTCTCGTCTCGTGGTAGGACAAATCACCGGGACTTGTGAAGTAAAAAGCGATCGTCTATTGCGATATAAGGAGAAGACTGAGGGACTCCTGCGGAGACTTTCGGCGTACGAAGTTGAGCATATCCCAAGAATGGAGAATACGGAAGCTGACATTCTGTCTAAAATAGCCCTTGGCGGGATACTCGATCATTTGATAAAGATATGTTAGAAGGAAGAAATTCACCAGCCAAGTATCGACGAGCCGAGCGAAGAGATTCAACAAATAATGATCGGAGACTAGAACCGGCAAGATAACCCTGAGATGTTCTGGATCGAAGATATCCTAAGATACAAGGAAAAGGACGAGTTACCTAAAGACCCGACCGTCGTCGCCTGAGTTCGGAGGAAAGCCCCTTCCTTCGATATAATAGACGGCCGGCTTTATAAAAAGTCATTCGGAGGACTTCTCTTGAGATGTTTATTACAACCAGAGGCGGAAAGAATAATGGAAGAGGCACATTGAGGAATATGCGCGACACATCAAGGAGGTCATACCCTTGCTCGGAAGCAGGTCTTCCAAGGGTACTACTAGCCCGCCATGATGAGAGATTGCGTAGACTGGGTAGCAAAATGTACCGTGTGTCAAGCCTTTGCTTGAAAGGATACCCGACCCGCTACGTTTTCACGACTGCCACCCCCTTTGCTGAGCGGGGGATCGATCTTCTGGGACCTCTACCAGTGGCACTAGGCCGACTTAGATTTTGCGTGGTGGTCATCGATTATTTCACTAAGTGGGTGGAGGCCGAATCGTTGGTCACGATTACCGAATATCAGTGTCGACGATTCATGTGGAAGAAAGTAATCTGTCGCTTCGGACTTCCCGAGCATATAGTCAGCGATAACGGCCGACAGTTTGATTGCCGACCCTTCGCCGAGTCCTGTCAGCGGCATGGGATTCGGCACACTAAGGTGTCAGGGCTTACCCCCAAGCCAACGGACAAGTAGAAAACATGAATCTCACCATCGTGGATGGCATTCGGAAAAAGCTAGAAGACATCAGAGGAAATTGGGCTAGCGAATTGGACCAAGTGTTGTGGGCATATCGGACCACTCAAAGGCGGGCCACGGGCGAGAGTCCTTTCTCGCTGGCCTATGGTTTTGAGGCAAGGTCTCGTTGGAAGTCGTAGAACCCATGCACCGAGTCCTCCACTACTCGGACGAAGAGAATGAGGAAAACCTTCAGATCGAGAAGAATTTTTTGGAAGAAAGAAGAGAGACGGCACATGCAAGGATGGAGTATCAACAATCCGTCAAGAGATACCGGGACAAACGGACTCGGATCCGACAGTTCCAAGTAGGGGACCTGGTCTTGAGAGATAGGCAAGCTAGCTGACCGACTGAAGGGGACAAGTTTGCAATCAAATGGGAAGGCCCATACCGAGTTGCGGCAATTGTCCAGGCAGGCACTAATAAGCTGGAGACGTTGGAGGGAAGGCTCATTGATCGAACTTGGAACGCGGTTCACTTAGAGAAATACTACCAGTAAAAGGTTAGATTCTAGTGTACCCCTGCCCTTTTTGAAATTTTAATAAAGGATGTCGCGCGTTTACTTTGAATGCTGTTGATTCCCTATAGAGAAGACTAGAGGGCCATCTAACAAAAAAAAAAAAAAGAGAAGAAGTGCAAGGGTCCAAACCCTTAGAAAATTTCAGAAAGGATCACCGCCGAGAGCCACCTCGACTGAGGGACTCGGGCATGTGAAAGTTCTTTAGTAATAAGACTACGGTCGAGATCCGCCTCGACTGAGGGGCTCAGACAGGTCGAGGAGGGCTCGCAGAATAGGCCGAGTGGTACGAAAAGCGAATCTCAAGCGCAAACTGTAGAGTTGGCTGACACTCCATAGTCACGGAGTCGACCAACACGCAGTAGTCGTGGAGTCGGCTAACACGCGACGGACACGGAGTTGGCCGACACGTAATCGGTGAAGGATCGCTCAGTAGGCCGAATGGGGTTCACCACGGATCCCGAGGGATAGCTCAGGGCGAGCTCCGCTCACACCAATAAAAAAAAATAAAATAAAATAAAATAAAATAAAAAATAGGCAAGGGTCCAGACCCTTAGAAAATTTTAAGAAAAGCTACAGCCGAGAGTTGCCTCGACTAAGGGACTCTAGCGAGTAAAGAAAGAAACCAAGGTCCAAACCCTTAGAAGTATTTGAGAAAGAAAAGCTACAGCCGAGAGTCGCCTCAACTGAGGGACTCAGGCGAGTAAAGATAGAAACTAGGGTCCAAACCCTTAGAAGTTTCTGAGAAAGAAAAGCTACAGCTAAGAGACGCCTCGACTGAGGGACTCGGTCGAGTCGGGGAAGACTCGAAGGGCGTCCCTAATAAAGGACTCGCGCATGGAGCGGAAGGGTCTTGACCCTTAAAAGTTTGGAAGTCAAGAAAAAAGGGGCATTCGAGTGAGTAAAGACAAATCAGACGATAATCGAAAATGCGTTCTTATATAAGCAAGTTCCAAAAAAAAAAAAAAAAAAAAAAAAAAAGAGAAGAAAGGAAAGCAGATAAAAACTATTAAGTAGAGGGGGACGCGACAGCGGCATGGTCAGGGCCTTCATTTTTCTCACCCACCGATGGTCTAGTAGAGAGAGTGGAAGAAGGTACCTCTAATTGATGAAGCGCCTCGCCGGTCAACTACTCCTCCTGACCGATGGATTCGTCCACCGGCAAAGCCGTGCTGGCGACCTCAGTGATAACTTGAACCTGCGCAATTTGAGGGGTGTTAGCTTCAGTAGTCGCGGGCCCTTGAGGAGAAGCTACGCGTGGCTCTAGACCCCAGCCCTCAGGGGTAAAGGAAGAGTTGCGAGACAGCAAAGCGTCATAAAGCTTGTGCTGAGCATATCTGTAGCCGAGGAGATAGTCACGCTCGCCCAGCTCGACCAGGTAGTTGTCGCCCGCAGGCGTCGTCAACCACTTCTTCCCGAGCTCTTCCAAGTGGGCATGTGCTTCAGCGAGGGCATCCACCTTGAACGCAGCCAACCCCTTGTAGTCGGACACGGCAGCATCCACCTTCTTCTTCTCCTCCTCGAGAAGCTGGGTCAGCTTGGAGATTTCAGCCGACTGCTTTCCCTTCTCCTCCAGAAAGTCCTCCTTCTCCTTAGTGAAAGCGTCCTGGTCCTGCACTCGGCCCTCACGCTCTTAGAGGATTCGGGAGTGAAGGGCTACGGCGCTGGCCTTCAGAGTTTGTATCCGTTTCCTTAGTTCTAACTCAAAGGAAATATTCTAAAAAGAAGGAAGAAGTGTCAGAAGTGTATATGGAAAGATCAAAAGAAGAAGTTCATAAGATTGGCTTACCGGGTAGGAGTGAAGAATGGAGCCTTCAAGAAGCGAATCCTCTGAGAGCTTGCGGCTGACTCGGCGTCTTTGGAGAAAATCACAGTCTCCGCCCAGGACTTGACAGGAAAAACTCCCTTCCATATCTGCGAGTCGGGGTCGAAATCAAGACCCAGGCAAATCTTCTTAGGGTGAGGTGCCTCGGACGACTCCATGGGTCGTTTCGAGCTGGGACTCGTCGCAGAAAGAGTCGGAGTACGAGTCGGAAAAGCCTCGGGAGAAGTCGAGAGGTCGACCAGCGGTTCGGAGGAAGACGGTCGTGGACGAACAACGATAGGAGCGGCAGGAAGAAGTGAAGTCGAAGCTTGAGGGGTACTGATTGAGCGATTAACGACTCGGCGGCGCAACTTGGCTGCACGGCAGTCCATGGGAACGTCGGGGTCGGCCTCGTCAAAAGAGGTGTCAGAGGCCGAGTCGTGGTTACCTGCGCAAAGAAAATGGAAAAGAGGTCAATTAAAGCATCGTGGGAAGATATAGGCAAGGAAGGGTTGCTTCAAGCTACCTGTGGTGGCCGCCCTAGCAGGTAGAAGGCCCGCTTTTTCCAAGGCACGCAGGCGAGACCAAAAGAATACGCACATAGGCTCCAGCTCCTTCAAGGTGTCGGAAGCCCTAATCACCTCGGCAATGTAGCGAGGTCGCCGAGTGTTCAACTTAAAGAGGGTGGAGGGCCACGCGGTAGGAAAATCGAAGGGACAAAGAGGAGGAGTAGGCCGGACGAAGAAAAATTAGGGCTTCTAATTTTTTACCGAATCTTGAACAATATGTAGCCCGCACGATGGGATACTTGAACGAAACCCCGAGAATGAGGACTGACTTTGGCCACGACGTATATTCACCGAAACAGGTCTATAGTAGGTTCATATCCCGTCCAATGACAGAGGGTCAGGAAGCATGCATACGAGGAGTCGGTGGGAATTTGGAACAAGTTGCCCAAGAACAGAGTTGAAATAGCGGAAGAAAAGTGAAAGGAAAGGATGAGGCAGGACTCGAAAACCGAAACAGACAGAGTGTAAATGGATCCCCACAAAGCCCTCCAGCGGGTCAAAGACGTCGCGATCCCCAGGATTTATAATCTCCGCCGATGCACCCATGAGGAAACGGGTGGTTTCATAATCTTGTTCCTCCATTTGTGAGAAACATTTGATGGGAAGGTCCAAAGGCTCCAAAACACCGGGAGCCCGACAGACATCGTCGAGAAGGGCGGCAACCGTCGTAAGCGGAGCCGGACTCAATGGGGTGGCAGCCTCCTCGTTACGAGGACCAGGTTAAGAAGAAGAATGGGAATGTGGGCTAGACGAAGCCCCTCTACGCGGAGAGAGGAAGAATGAGAAGGGGAAGACATAGTAAAAAGGAAGGAGGCACCAACCTGAGAAGCACGTCGGGGGTTGGACGGAGGAAAATCTCAAAAAGACGTCGGAGAAGCTAGAGTGTGAAGAAGAGTAAAGGGAGAGCTGAAGATGGTAAAAATGAATAAAGATCGTTGGAGGGAAAGGAGTTTTGTAAAAAAGGGAAGAAGGCCTCAAATGGGGACACGTGGCTGAGATCCAACGGTGAGGGGAAGGTGACGGTTGATGTGAAGTGACCTGATGGTACAAGGGAATTTAATACGTCTCGGAAGACGGAACAACAGCTTGGAAGAGACGTTTAGGGTTTTACCCAAATGGCAAAAAGTAGGGCGTAGGGTTTTGTGTCCGGACGAGTCGCAACGTGTGGGCTCGGGGCGCCATGACCCGGCCTGTGATGAAGTAAGCCCACGAGTTTTAAAATCAGGAAGGATAGTCCACTCGGTTTAAGGCCTACTGTCGAGAGTCTAACCAAGGAGGTCAGCCCACTTATCTGTTGGGCCAACCACTTAGCGTTCGGACCTTGGGCGGTCAGCCCACATAGTTTTGAGGCCGACCACCGACAGTCTAACCAAGGAGGTTAGCCCACTTATCCGTTGGGCCGACCACTTAGCGTTCAGACCTTGGGCGGTCAGCCCACCTATGTTTTGAGGCCGACCACCGAGAGTCTAACCAATGAGGTTAGCCCACTTATCCGTTGGGCCGACCACTTAGCATTCGGACCTTGGGCGGTCA